GGATTTCAGGATCCAGCAGGAGACGCCAACAGCCACGGGATCTGTTATGGCCTCGACGATGTGTTCCTATGCCAATGCACTTGCCGACAACTTTCCTATTACTATTCATGCTCCTCTTTCAGGTTCAGAGTCTCGTTTTCACATTGGCAAGTCCTGCAATGCTCCTCAATCTTTCCACGACGCTATTGAAGGTGGCGATGATCACACTTTCATTAAAAAGCTTAACAAAAAAAATGGAAAGCCTGCTCTTATTCTCACTGAGGTTGAAACAAACACTCTCGCGTTCTCTTGTTGCACTCTCGCGTCCTCTCGACGTTTTGCTCTAGTGGGGAAATTCCTTTATGGTCACCCAAAACTGGAGATCATTCGAAAAGATTTTGGTGCTATGAAGCTATTGGGCAGTTGAAATATTGGCTTACTTGACAGTCGACATATACTTAATTAGTTATCTTACGATGTTGATTACACTCGCATTTTTTCTCGAAAAGTTATCAAGATCGACAACTGTTTTATGAAAATTCTAAAGTAAATTGTCGATTTTGATCCAAAAATGAAGTCCCCTATCATTCCTGTTTGGATAAAGTTTCCGGGGTTGAAGTTACATCTGTTCAACATGAAAATTCTCTACTCTTTAACAACTGTTTGCGGTAAGCCTCTCAAGGTTGATAGTCCTACGCTTGCTGTCACCAGACCCTCTATAGCTTGTGTATTAGTTGAGAGAGATATCACTCAACCAGCTCCGGATGAGGTATGGATTGACACCACTTACAACGGGCATTGGCAAAATGTTGAAACAGAACCACACCGTCCTTATTGCTCTCATTGTAGTATGTTTGGCCACAGTTCTAGTACTTGTTATCGCTTGCATCCTCATTTAAGGCTGAATAACGCTAAAGATATGCCATCTACCATCCCTGCTGAAAAGGTGCAATCTGATCCTCTTTCCAACACCACAGTTCCAGATGAAAAACATCATACTACAGGTACAGATCCAAACGTGATTATACCACTCACTGTTATTAAAGAAAACTCACTTACATGTTAAGACTCACAAGCAAACACACGAGAGTGTTCCTTTGATCCGATAAAAGATCAGCTGGTACAACAAGTAGTTGCTTCTAATGTTCAAAAACCTACACATGTCTGACACACTTTAGACCATTCCACTAATCAGGTGAGTCAATATTCGCATGACAAATGGCAGGTCTATTCCAGGAGGAAGAAAAACGGAGGCCGACTCGAGCTTGTGAATTTATTGAATGATACATTGGTTACTACTGGCAATGACACTCATCTTAGCAATTTATTAGTTGGCTCCTTCCCTAGAACTAAAGGCAGAGGCAAGGCAAAATTGGGTCGCTCTCTAACTACCTGATACTCCGTATTTTGACACTTTTTTGTTTTTTCTTTAGGATCTCTCATGTTTTTTTTTTTTTTTGTATTTTCTCGTTTTGGAACCATTTGATGTGGTGGTTATCGTGTGGGCAAGGTGTCATGTTTGGGCCCTCTCACACAATTTATTTGTATCCCACTTTCTATTTAATATATTAACCTTCAGACTTTTTAAATATATATATATATATATATATTTATATATTTAATCACACACGTCATGGGGGTTATTTTGGGTTTTAATCTCATATAATGGAAACCATATCAGATACAAAATTTACTGATGGAAATGCCATTCTACTACAAACAAATAGAATGTTGAAACAATTGAATTTCATTTAAAATGTCATAAATACAATCGTAGAGCACAAAGTTCAAAGATCCATTGAACCAAATATGAAATGGAAAGAAACGAAGTGTAAAAATAGAAAGAGGCCCTTGGCTGCATCTACGTCAGTGGTTGCAATGTCAGCCCGTTTAGAAAGCAAGCCCCATACACAATGCAATGAACCCTTGAAAAGCCAGCTTATTTTAACGTAATTATGATGGATTTTGGCAATGCCACCAAACTAGTACCAAACAACCATGAGAATCTCGCACTGGGACCTATAACCCTAATGAGTGGGAAACATGCATCGCAGCTAACAAAATGGCTTCTAATGGTGGCAACAGCAATTAATAACTTCCCCACACTTTCATATCTACTTCTATCACATCAGATGAGTTCTTTGTCCTGGAAACAAAGATTCACAAGATCAAGATATAACCGTAAAATCTGTGAAGATATCATGTAATGATTACTGATAGTACAATGCTACAATCATCCCAACTCACCTTAATGACAATTCATTTAACATAAAATCTGAATTGGCACCCTAGCAGATGTGATTTGGTGATTTAAACCCTTGACCTCCAGGTCACTAATTAGGGGCGCCAAATCATTGCCTCAAAGCCAGTTCTTTATGAATGATAACTACAACTTAACTTCTTGTGGACTGCGGAAAGGATCCTTACAGAAATATATTGAAAGGTTTAAAGTACAAGAAGATGCATAAATTAATGTGTTGCCAATATATAAGTGGCTGGAGAAGCATTCATTCAATTTACATGTAGTGGTTGACTGTTCTATAACTTGCATATGAATTCAGTTAGAACAGAGCATCAAATCCACAACTGTTCAGCAAACATGCGCAGAAACAATTTAGGAAAGTTTAAAGTCAATAGCATCTGATGAAAGCAGAAGTGGTAACTATTCTTAAAACAATGTTCGATGTAGATTAAGATCCAGAATTCATTCCAACTTTATTTATTTGGTTCTAAATATTATCCATAGCTGGAGAACCAAACACCCTAAATCCAGAAAAAATTTCTAATGCATAAATAAGAAAATTTTGCAGAAAATCCCCATTCAAAATTGTGTTGTAAGACATAATCAAATGATGAATTACAAAAGGAACATTAACGAAATGAATGCTTCAATTCAGCTTTATCTGAAACAGGTGTAAGTTCCTTCAATTTCAACCACAATAAAATTTAATACAAAGACCCAGTACAAATACTACTGGTTCAAACCTGAGGAAAAATGCAATAGAAATTCAGGAAAAATAATACATCAGGTTAAAAGAATTTACCAATAAAAGCATAGCATAAGCTATCCCCAGTTTTGTAATCACGAATAATATCAGCTCTGAAAAGTGAAACAAGTAATGATTTGTGACAATTATGTTGGTGAGCTGTGATTGGTAGGCTCTAAAAGTGAATACTCACGAGGTCACAGTCCCAAAACGCGAAAATATTGTATATAGATCCTCATCCTGCATCATAGAAATTTGGGTTCACAGTATCAGCATTATATTTTCAGCAAACAAGATGGATTGGTATGCATGACTACGCTCCAATTACAAAACATTATCACATACTTGAGTCACAGGATTAAGTTTACAGACAAACAACACATTGTTTGGTGGCTTCATCTCAGCATCAGGAATGTCTCCTATCTGCACAAGAAATTATAAGAGTATGAATCAACGCACACTTAAAAAATATGTTAATATGATATATAACGTGGAGAATGATTCGTACACTCTCTAGAATAGCTGCATTTGTGTGCGCCTCTTTAGTTCGAATAACTTCCTCAAGTTCTGCAGCAGTTAATTTTTCATCCATGGGAACCCAGCCATCTTCCAGACGCTCCTCTGCTACCTATTATACATATCAGATGATACGAATCAACATAATGTAGCTATCATTTTCAGAATATGAGGAATGCATTTGAAAACCATGGCTTCATAGCATGATGATTGTTTACTGTGGAACAATAACAGTGAATTCATTGGTAAACAATGAAGTGCACATGTTAGCAGCTTCCATCCAAGCTGATAAAGAATCAATATAAGGTAGTTGACCACTTAATGTGTGTAATATTTATAATTGATAAGCAAGACCATACGAAGAGGAAAACTTATTAGAACACTGATGTAAGAACATGTGTAAACTCCATGGAAAAGATCACAGAGCAATGTGTAGTTGATATGGGGGGGACAACTTACTAAAACAAAATTTTAAAAAGCTTCATGATACAATCGTTACAGAATGGGAAAAGAATATTGTGTCAAACATGGAGAACACAGCCAAAGCGGGTGCTTAACATGAATCGATTTGCTGCCTATTTAAGATTGACATTATGACTACCAGCAACTTGAAACCACATAATTCCAGACAAACTCTTTACTTTTCAATAAAAATTAAAGATTTGCATTATTGTCAACAACAGCAGGGATACAGTTTAAGAACGGAACAAATAACATTGATATGTGGCACACTATAAACTGTATGTTATGATCTAAGTTTTACAGCCATCACTATCCCATTTCCATACTTGTTCCACCAACACGTTTCGTCCATAACTCATCCTCATTCATTTTCAAGGCCTTGAATTATTTGAGTTAATATAAGTAAACATCATTCAAAGAGATAATAATGAACAATGCCTTAAAATGCCTACCATAACCAATGCAAAAAATTGAATAGAACATCTAGGACTTGAACTTACAAGTTCATGGATTTCTAATATTTAGTATGAAAAGAACTAAAATATTTAATATGTACTTCTGAATGAAACATACAGAAACAAAAAATATTAAATATATAAAACAAGATAAAGATGGCATAATAGTCTAGGAAACAAAATCTATAGGACATAAAGTTTACAAAAAGACTCATTGAAAACACTTTACTTCAAGCATAGTGAAAACAGGAGAGTGACTAATTTTTTTCTGATTCTTACCTCAAAAAGAATTCAAAATCTCCTATCCATCTGAAAGTAAGCACTCTCGAGTTCTCTCATTTGAATCACAAGGCTTTTGAAGCTCACAAATTATGACAAGAAATGTCGCAATAAGTAAGTGAAGTAATATTAAGATTGATGTTTGCAAAGTGTTGATGAGAACACCACTCTAGGTAAGGGTCTCAACAAGCTAAACCTCGAGTGAGCTCATTATTTGTGTGTTAGGCCCAATCAAAATTTTGTTTATTTGAAATCGGCTCATGTTAAAAAGTTGTTCATGAATAGATGTTCACATTCGATTATTTTTTAATTATTATATTTGTGTACTACATATATCCAGCTCATATTTAACTTAAATTATTTAAAAAAAACAAAATTTAACTTTTTTTTTTAAATAAAGCATAAAGCCCAAAAAATATGAAAAATCAATAACATGTCATTAATTTATAATTAATAATTAATAAAAATATATAACATTAATAATAAATACTAATTATTTAATTATTGTGAGTCAAAATGAGTTGAAGTTGTGGAACAAGCGTTTGTTTGTTTTTGACATGTCAATTACTTGAGATCAAAATATTTGTTTATGTTTAACTCGATAATAAAAAGTAAAAATAAAAATAAAATAAAATAAAATAATGTTTAGCTCTATAACAGAATGAATGATATGAACACAAGTTATTTAATGTGCCAAATGTGATATCTTTGGGAAAACAAGCTTTTTTGGCAACCCTAACTACAAGGCGAGTAGGCACAAGCACAAAAGCCCTTAAATCCAAAGAAGAACGTAAAAATGGTTCAAAATTCTAATTGCAAACTTGATCTAATAAAGGAGTTGCATCCAGAGTGATAGAGGGTTGAATACAATCATTTGAATATACCTCTCATGCTTGATAACTAGATTTTTTTCAAATTTGGATGAAACTTAAGACATTCTGAAAATTTTATGACATGAAGTTTTGCAGGACTGGTATACTTTCAAAACCAACCCTTCACCAGTATTTACAACTGAAGAATCAATCCACATCTTTTCTTACTGAACAAGAACATCTAGCTCAACAAAGAATTTGGACACGAGACCTTAAAGGGGAACACTAGCATTATCAATCACTAAAGTTCTGCCAAATAAAGAACCAAGGGATCAAAAAGTGGTTTGGTTTAAGAATTTAAACAAAGTTGAGAGAATGCAAACTAAACTAAAGTGATACTTCTCTTCAAAAAATTCAATATTGAGTGGTTATTTTAGCATACGCTTTGACAAACCACATGTGGTATTACTAAAAGAAAAGCCTTATATAGCATGCTTTCAAAGAAATTCTAATAATAACATGATGAGAGTCAACAAAACTAATGAAATGGACACCAACTAAATGTAAATCAAACATAAATTTATGAATAATCTATAGCTTTAGGCGACCCAATAAAAATTTGACGTTGCAGAGAAACAGAAAGAAGCAATATCTTCACTTCAATAAAGAGTAGAATTATTCTATAAATGTAAGGATGTTTAAACAAAAGTGATACATTTCACCCACCTACAATCTTAAGAAAAAAAGGAAGCGAGGCAGGTAGGCAGCTAGAGACAGGTTCTAAAAAGAACTCGGAGGAGGAACCTTTGAGAAGCAAGACGTCCCGAGAATAAGAGGTGGCAACAAAATTAAGGGTTCATCCAAGAGCCTAGGAGCAACCAAATGTGGGTGAGATCGATGAAAAATGTGTGGTAAATGACATAAATTAGAAGTTGGAATTACAGCCTCGCACCTTCCTGTGCCAAATTGAGCAAGCATAACGGCGAGAGAAAATGCAGAAATCGATAGTTGAGAAAACAAAAAAGTAACATGACAACCCCAGATGAAGAAGGAATTAACATCAAAAGCCCTACTTGAGCCCAAGTACAAGACTAAGATAACGAACAAAGCAAACACAAAGCCGAGACAGGATGAAAGCGGGCACCAGGTGAGCAATCACGACCACATGAACATGCTCAAGAGAGCCATGAGGACGGTGGATGCAAACGAGCACCAAAACAAAAATGACGGGGCCTTACTGTGAGCATTCTAGAGCACATGTGAGCGTGTTCGATTGAAAATAGATTCACAAGGGCAAAGAAGGAGAGGGAGCCCGAGATGCACAAAAAAAAATTAATAATAATAGTAACAATTATGAACTTTGAATTTTGAATTCAATTTCATTAGCCACAAATTAAAAACCACACATGAAATAATCCAAACAAAAAAGAATAAAAAAAATTTTAAAAAAAACTCTGGCACATATATAAAATGAAATCCGACCAAGTTAGCAACATGGAAAAACCATGTAGCCAAATTCCTTAAATTCCATGTCATGAAACCCCAAGACTTGCATGCTTACGTCCTTCAATAGATGGGAAATAAAATCCACAAAAAAAGGATAGCCTGCAGCTACAATACACGTAAGGCGGATGAAAAGTACCACCACTCCAAGAAGTGTAACAGAAAGTCTTTTTTTCCTTCAGTTTTTCTTAAACAATGAACCAATAAAACCAAAATCACTAATCACAACAACTTCAAATTTCCAATGCCAAAGGAAACCACATATATCATCCCAAGCTCAAAAAAAAATTTACTTCAACAAATAGAGCTTTAAGCATAAAAGAAAACTATGTCAAACAATATGAGATAAACAAAAGCTAGGAAATAATATTCAATTGATTCTAAACCGTCACTATTAACATGTTCCTAGTTATAGAAATAACGAAATAAAATATCCCACTGAAAATATAAACACTTCGATGAATATACAGGTGTAGATTTATGCTAAGATCTATTCAAGATAGCTCAGAGAAGCAACCCATGGTTTGTTAATCAAATAATTTTGGACGTTACAGCACGATGTCCTCTTGCAATGGCACACTATTTCTAAAGGAAGGTCCTGTGCCAAAGTGAGCAAACATGATGGCGAGAGAAAATGCCAAAATCGATAGTTGGGAAAACAAAAAAGGTAACATGACAACCCTAGATGTAGAAGGAATTAACATCAAAAGCCCTAGTTGAGCCTGAACATAAAATTAAGATAACGAACATAGCATACACAGTCGTAACAAGATGAAAGCTGGCACCAGGTGAGCAATCACGACCACATGTACATGTTCAAGAGAGCCATGAGAACAGTGGATGAAACTGAGCACCAGAACAAGCATGACGGAGCCTTACTATGAGCATTCCAAAACACATGTGAGTAAGCGTGAAAGATTGAAAATAGATTCACAAGGGAAAAGAAGGAGAAGAAGCCTGAGATGCACAAAATAATAATAATAATAATAATAATAATAATAATAATAATAATAATAATAATAATAACAGTAATAATAAGAAGAATAGTAACAATTAAGAAATTTGAATTTTGAATTCAATTCCATTAACCACAAATTAAAAACCCGACGTGTAATAATCCAAACAAAAAAAATTAAAAAAAATTAATAAAAAAAAACTCTGGCGCAAATATAAGATGAAATCCGACCAAGTTAGCAACATGGGAAAACTACGCAACCAAATTCTTTAACTTCCATGTCATGAAACCCCAAAAACTGCATGCATACGTCCTACACAGAAGGCAAATAAAATCCAAAATAAGGTATAGTCTACAGTCACAATACCAATAAGACAGATGAAAAGTATCGCCACTCCAAGTAGTGTAATAGAAAGACTTTTTTTCTTCAATTTTTCTTAAACAGTGGAACTAGCAAAATCAAAACCAATAATCACAGCAACTTCAAATTTCCAATGCCAAAGGAAACCACATATATCATCCCAACTTCAAAAAAATTTTACTCTGACAAATAGAGTTTTAAGCGTACAAGAAAACCATGTCAAACAGTATGAGCTAACCAAATGCTAGGAAATAGTATTCAATCAACTCTAGCCCGTCACCATCA